CTAGACTTTAAATATTGAAAGCTAACTGCTTCGGTGGGAATTAAATTAAGCACATGCTATTCTTAATAGGCGTGATTTTCTGAACAATTTCTTCCTCTGAACAAGGACAAAATCTCTCCCATAAGGTTGTATATAACACGTAGTAAGAAACTGTGATTACCTGGCTTCCCATCCTGAATCAACAGCTTTAAAACCCCTTTTTCATGTATTGTATCTTAACAAACCATGAGATGCTTAATTATCTCATTATAGAAACCAAAGTGGGAAAAGGAAACATAAGGGAAGGACATGAGTCCCATCAGGATAACAAGGGGATCCTGAAAGGCCGGGTCATGTAATTAAAAAAAAAAAAAAAAAAAAAAAAAAAAAGCCTACAGTTTACAATTGCTCATATGAATCTGAAACCTTTAATTAAAGTATTAAAACTCTTCCTTCTTAAGGCTGTTTCTCTCTTGATCACAAGGCCAACCCATCTGCCCCAAGGCTTATCAGAGCAAAAGGGTTTCCAGCCAGCAGACCGGGGTAAGTCCGGGGGGCCGGGGCGGCTCTGGGGAGGGTGGGGAGTTAATGGGCACCTTGGGCAGCCCTGGCCGCTCGAGCAGAGAGCAGGCAGAAGTCAAGCACGATGTGATAAACGGCCCTGTACAAAAACTGAGTTCAAGGCAAAACCTATAGGGTCCAAGAAAAAAAAATAAGCATGGGCTGAGCTGAAGGATCAATTTGTTGAGAAGTCGCCCTGAATGTAAGCCTCCTCATCAGTAACAGCCTGTGAATCCCAGAATGGATACAAACGTTTTTGTACAAACACAGCAATTATTTTTCCAGAAGAGACACACAGAGGAAAGAATATTTTTTTCTCCAAACAACTTCCTTGTGTGATTTTTTGTTTGCTTGTTTGATGGTGCTTTTCTTTCAGACACTATACAGAGGAAAAAGTGACTGAAGCTGAGCTGTCAGTTCTTGCTCCTGTTTTACAAGACAGCCTCTGAGCAAATCCCTTTTGTAGAATGCTCACCCACATGCTTGGGCACTGTAAAGAACTTTTAAATAGACATTGATTACATTCAGACCTTAGGAAAATTGTCTTAATGTAAATGAGAAGTTCCCCAGTAGATTTATAAGACATTTCATAAAATTCCTGATAAAATTTATTATCTTTCACAAAACATTTTAAGGAAAATAAAACAGCTAGAAATGGATAGCAAAGAAATAAGTTTATTTTAAAAACTCATCTATGCTAATCATCTGCTGTGAAGTGATCAGCTAGCCATGCTAGTGACTAACCGTCCAGCAGCCAAAACTTGTTTTGCGTTGGCTTTTCTTAGTCTGAATCAAAATTAATGAGTTTGCCTGAACAAAATGATGGAAAACTCACAAGCCTAAAGTGTCTTTGGACTCAAGATGAGCAGTGACACCTTGCAAGTTAAGCCCATAATGAAAATAAAATAAAATGTATCAGTTGTGTCAGAACTTGACAGTCACAAATGAATTTAGATGTTAACAGATAGCGGTATGAAATCTTTCAGCAAGCATAGCAGTAATTATCCTAAACTAAAAAAAAAAAAATCTTCCCTCCTTCTATATGGTTATACAGGTGATAAACAAGTGTCCTCCTTGAAAAAAAAAAAAATATATATAGCTATGTCATGTGTTGTCATTTTGAAAGAACAAAAAGTCAGTCTGATCTTGTGAAAAGAACAGATTAATTCTTTTTGGTAGATATAAGCTGGGCATTGTAAATGCTACTGATGCAGGCAGGATTAGAGTTTGTAGACCTGATTACGGCCATATGATCTTAAAGCCAACACCAGATAGAGTTCTTATTACAGTTAAGTTTTTCCACTACTTCATGCTGCCATTTCCCCTCTACCACCCCCACTTTTGCAGTACTCCGTTCAGCGCTTACTGGAACTGCCCCCCTCCACAGCCACCATCTCGCCCTTTGAGTCAGCTCACGATATTATTCAGAGCAGCCGAGCATCTCCAAAGTGTCCCCTGCATAACGGGGGGACGGCCAGCCGGTGCTGGCAAGTTTGGGTGCCCACATGAAATCCCAGACCCGAGGGATCGTGCGAATCCCCACGTGCAGGAGCAGCGTTTGGCCCCTGGGTGCTCCAGGGAGTTGGCACAAGCCCGAGGAAGCGGACACGGCGGGTGGAGATGGATTCCTGCAGGTCACAAGACGAGTCATTCACATCTAACCTGCTTCCATGGATTTTGCTCTGATGCTCCCAGAACTAGAAATGCCATCTCCTGCAGCATGAATTTCTATACAACCTACTGAAAAGGATGAGTTGTCTGTTATTTTTATGTAACAAATACATAAGCCTTGCTTGCTTTCAGCCCTTGCCCTATTGACTCCAAGGCAGTGACTAGAATGTGAAAACTTGGCTTAGGTATTGGCTTTACCCATACAGTGCAGCTATATAAAATCTGATAGTGCCTGCTCTGTTTTGCCAATAAAAAAATCCTGGGAAGCAACGTCATAATACAGTAAAGCATGAGGAAATCATAATGCTTAGCAGGGATGAATTGAATCAGACCTGATAGAAAACTGAATAAAAATAAAAATAAATTTATTGCATCCTGTTTGCATTTATTACGGACTCCTCCTAAGCGATAATCACTCTAAAATTAGAGAATTATTACTTTTGCTGTTCGAATAAAATATACCTAAGACTAGAGTCTAAGGAGCTAGACCCAGTAAAGTAATTCACAGATTAATTTCTTAAGAAATGAAAACTCCACCTCTCCTTCTCCACCACTGCCTTTCCCTGCTTAGCCAGCAAGAATTGCAGGGACAGACCCCATGTGTTTTTGGGAACTTGCCATCAGACTGCTCCATCCCTCCCAGTTAATTCAGCAGACACCCCATGGGCACTGTTTGCACCCGACTACAATCCCTTGCACCCTTATGAGCCAGAGGTCATTTGTCCAACCCGTTTCGTGAGATAAAACTGCCAGGGATGATAAGCAAGCGATGCACGGCTGTTCTTTGTGGAGACAGCTATTGCCTGTTAGGAGCAGAGGCGAGCCCTCCAAACCCGCTTGGCTTCAGCCTTGAAGCTGGGCTCAAACCACAGTCCAGGAATTAAATGTTCAGCACATTAGCTGCTAACCCACCAGCCACGGCTTAGCCTTACAAGCAGTACATCACTGCCTAGTCCCCAAAAAGATCATTTATGATTATATGACAGTCCCTTCTCTTTCTTTGATAGGGCAACGCATTGCTCTGAAGAAATCATGGCTTTTTTTATCATGTTGACCTCTATCTGGATAAAGAAACAGTCCACTTCTTTATTTCCAAAGGTTTATCCTTGAATAATGAACCTAGGCTGTTGTTATTTGTTGTCAGTACTATAGCATCCCCAGTAAAAAGCAGAGCGTAGAAAGCGGAGCTACCGTAACTATGTTATTTCCTGATCTTTTCCATAACATATTAATACAAGTCCAACTCTCCCGTGCATCCTGGCTGAAATGAACAATGAACACAATTTCTTGGGTACTCCCTCAACTAGCGAGACCTCTTCAACCCCACTTCCAGCTTATTGTGGGGGAAATGCTGAACAGATGCTGAGCTGTTTCCCTGATGCTACACCCATCTCTGAAGAGTTAACACCACAGTAGGCTCTAAACTTCAGCAAGGGGGTGGATTTCTAACGTTTCAGGCGATACCAGAAATGACATCTAACGGCAAGAGCATCCTGTATTTTTACTCATGTTCGACTTCTTGCCACCCGTGCACAAACTCTTATGCCATGCCGTGCTTTGAAGATGCTCATCACGTAGCTGAGGCTATTGGCCAAGGTGCACGTGGGGCTCCGAGGCTCCTTAACCTTTCTCTCTGCAGTGACGGGTCCCTGGGCACGCATGGGTCTCTGCTGGCATTTAGCTCACCCTCTCATCCCCCCGTCCCTCACTCTGCACTGACACGGGCTCTCATAGCCAGGTCCAGACTCACGGTGCCTGCACTTGTGTTCATCTTCTCGCACAGACCCCCGAGGAACTCCTGCAGTGGGTTTTCAGACCAAGTCTGGTCGTTTGGCTACTGCATAGTATCACTTTGATTCTGTTGTGTGCTTGGGAATATGGGGAGAATAAGAAAAAGGTGTCGGAAGCTTTAGCCCGCGCACACACATAAAACCAGTGTGCATCACAGGCTGCTGTGGCATGGCACACCCAAGAGCACTCCAGTTTTGTCATCTGTGTTAACTCTCCGAGTGAAAAAGCTCAGCTCCTCACCCCTTCTGCCCTCCCAATGTGAACAGGTTCCTTTGGAGCCTCATCTGAGCTCCCGAGTTGGCTCCTATCTTCTCAGGCACCCTCCGGAGGAGCCCACCTCACCCCACAGCTTAAGGAGGGAGCTTACTGGTCTCAGCTTAAGTGCCCCGAAACGCCTGCCACACTCAAACCTGAATCCTGCTGCAGTAACAGTGTGGCTGCAAGGAGTAATCCAGCGAGGGGCACACAGCTACCTGCCATAGTCAGAGGCGTTTCGTACAAAGCCAGCTGAGGAGCCACCAATCTACCGCCGTTCGGTTTCTGGAAAGCCGCTGAAGCTCGAGGAGCCCTGGGATACCCTTCAGGATGCCCTGCAGCCAGTCCCTCTTGGCGGAAGGCAGGACAGGGGGAGGGTTGCAAAGCAGTAGGCAGGCCGTTTGCTCAGAGGTCTCTTAATTCCCTACCTCAGGACTCACCTTACATCTCCAGCAAGAAGCCATCTCGCCCTCCCGCCGCCGTGCGCGGCGGGGGCCAGCGTGGAGCTCGGGGCTGGGGGTGTCACGGCTCAGCAAAGGTCTCGAGAATTTGTTCTCTGAGAACTAGATGAGACTATTTCCAGGCTTCCGCAGGAGCCCGGCCGGAGCAAGGACAGACCACAGCATCCCATTACCCTTTTTCACTAACTCCTGCAGCTGCCCCATTAGCCCAGAGACTCGTTACCTGATGCAGTTTTTTCCTTCAAGCAGTGATTTTGCTTAGAGGGATTGCAACTCCTCTGCTCCAATTAAGACTGATTTATTTAAATTTTTTCTCCTTTTCTTTCCAACACACAAAAATAGAATTAGAGTACAACAGAAGCACAACGAAATACAAATGATGGCCTCCATGCACACATTGAATCATCATCTTAGAGGATCCCTGAAGAAAAGTTCTGGCAAGGCAGCGTGGTCCTTTCACTGAGCTCTCCATGCACTTCCCCAACACAGGATCCAGCTGAGCTGCTAACGATGACCCGAAGCACCTGCAGCCTCCTGGGATTCTCCTTGGTGTGTTTTTTTCTGCATTTTCAGGGTCCTGCAATGGTGTACTGTCCCAGGGCAAACAGTCTCAAAGTGAAAATATGGAGTTTTGGATCCAGAACTTTGTATCCTGAAGCAGAAGAAAATGTGGGTTCAATTAAATCAATCCCAGCTCTGAGGTCAGTGCATTCGCTGTGTCTTGGGAAGGGTCCTCCTGCTCTGCCACGGCAGGAATTTCTCCGTCCTTCCTATTTAAAAGCGTGTGCCCACTCCTCAGCGAATTAATATCACAATCCAAAGGCAGCTGTTTAAAATCTGATTGCCAGCTGAAACACATAGCTATTTTTACCAAGAAATTAATCAACAAGCCCTCCCCTCCACACCCCCCGACTTTTTTTTAATTTTTTTTTTTTTGCTAACAGTACAAGGTTATTTCCCTTCTTCACTCTCTACATGACCTGCTCAACACAACCTCAGCCACTTGGAAAAAAAAAAAAGCAGCTTAAAGTGCAACTAACTTTCCCTGCACCTTTTAATGTGGTAGCTAAAGGTTACCCTCCTGGAAGAAGAGCTTGAAACCTTCAACAGGATTCTATTCACTTTGAAAAGGAAACTGGGGTTATAATTTAAATGTCTTTTTACTGGATAGCCCTGGAAAATAATAACAGGAACAAAAATATTATGCCTGAAATGTTTTAAAAGACATTTCAGAATAGTGATTTATCTTGTATGAAGCTTTTTTCAAATAGGAAATTAATAAAAAATACATCTGACTACATAAACTGACACAGGATATTAGCGGACAAATTCAGTTTGCTCTTCCCTTCTTCTCTCCAGGTCTAAAGTTGGGTATTTGTAAACCAGACACTTTGTTGCACTATTTATTACATTTTTGGCCAGGAAAATACACTTGTACAGCTGATCCTTCCCTTCCATCAGGGACTTGCATCTCCAACATGTTTTAGGTTATTAGACAGTTTGATTTGTTTATGTTTTTTTTTTTTTGGTCAAACTTATAGTTCCATTATAATGCCTCAAAAGTTTGTATTATAGCTGTTTCTGTTTGGGGTTGTTTTCTTGTAAAAAACAACAATTATGATTTTAGCTTTTTATTTAAGAAAACTGTATTTTCGTCCTAAGTGAGGAAGAGTGGGCTGGAGGAGAGGCAGCGCCAGAAAGGAAAGGCAACAGATTATATGGTTAACAATTTTTTTTCTTTGAACTCAAGGACCTTCAAAGAACAAACAAAAAGCCAAAGCAGGGAGAAGACACCGGGTATTAATAAGCAAGTAGGGGTGGCCCAAACCCTCACTTTGGAAATATTTCATAAAATGCTCAAACATAACCGCCGTGGCTGCAGTCCATCGGTGCCACTTTTCCAAAGCTTCATAAAAAAAAAAAAAAATAAAAATAAAAAAAAAATGCAGGAACCACCTGTAGGTGTGGATGCTGCGGGTAAATCAGAGATGTTTTTACCAAGGTAGCCCCATGCAGCAGGAGCCCCGGGAAGCCAGCGGGTGCACAGGGGACACCACGGCCCGCCAGCTCCCCACCAGCGATGGTGCAGCTGGTTAGCAGGAAAACCAGCAATTAAAGAGCACCTCAGCGGGGATCCGGCTCCAGTTTGGACGCGTGATTAAACCTGAAATTCTTCGTAGACGTGACCGTCAGCTCTGCAGGCTGACGCAAAGACGATCTTGCGCGTTTGGGGGGAAAAAAAAAAAACTGAAGGGGGTTCATTGAGAAACGTTGCGGATGGATGGTGGGGCTGGGGGCAGCGGGAGCTGGGGGTGAGGGTGCATCCCTCCATCCTTCCCTGAACCCCCCGGGCTCTCTCCCGGCATCTCTGGAACATCCAGGCTGCAAACCCGGCACCCACCTCCCCTACCCCACCCCGGCGGGCAGCACCCTTGCATCGAGCTGCACCCCCGGTGGGCTGTGCTTCGCTCTCGGCCACGCCGAGCTGGGAAAGCCACCCCCCCCGGACACCCCCATGGCGGGAGGTTAAAGCTTTTTGAAGCTTTTTTTTTTTTTTTTTTTTGGTGGGACGGGGAAGGAGGGAAAGCGGCACCCACGGCCAGCCCCGACGGCTTCGCTCCGCTCCCTGCGCACCCTCATCCGCGCTCCATTCCTCCTGCGCCTCTCTGTGTTTATAGATGGTTATATACATACGTATATATATATATATATCTATATATATATGTGTACACTTACGCTTTACAAAAATATGCCTCTCTCGGGCGTTCGCGCAGCCCGGCAGCTCCGCTCACGCCCGGCCGCCGGGACAGGCCGCCCGCGGGCCCCCGCCGCTCCCCGCGGCCCCCTCAGCCTCGGCCCGCCTCTTCCTCCTCCTCCGAAAATTCCCGTTATCGAACATTTTCTCGCAGTTGGGGTCGAGGGTCCAGTAGCTGCCTTTGCCTGCGGAGAGACGAGAAGTCCCCGCGCCTTGCCGGCCGCCCCCCACGCCGAGTCCCCGTCCCCCCCGTCCCCCCCCCCCCCCCCCCCTTTACCTGGGTCCCCCTCGTCCCGCGGGACCTTCTTGAAGCAGTCGTTGAGGGAGAGGTTGTGGCGGATGGAGTTCTGCCAGCCCGCCTTGCTCTTCTTGTAGAAGGGGAAGTTTTCGGCCACGAACTGGTAGATCTGGCTGAGGGTGCGCCGCCGGCCCGGCGCGCTGTGGATGGCCATGGCGATCAGCGCCGAGTAGGAGTAAGGCGGCCTGGCCGGGCGCAGGCACTCCTGCGGAGCCGGCCAGCCCCGCTCCGCGCCCGCGTAACCCGGCGGCGGCTTTTCCGCGGGGGCGCAGCCCGGCGGCGGGAGGAGGAAGGGGGCGGAGGGCCCGCCGAGCCACAGGGGAGGGTGGGCGGCGGGGCCGGGGGGGGAGATGGCGGGGCGCGACGCCACGTCCAGCAGCCCGAAGGCCTCCATCATCCTCCCCGCCACCGCGCCCCGACGCTTAAATACCGCCCCACGCGTGTCCGCGCCCGCGGGGAAACGCCTCCCCTCCGCCCTCCCCAAAGGCCCCCGCTCCCATCTTTCAGGAGCGGGGGTGTGTGTGTGTGTGAAGGCATCGCCGCCCACTCCTCTTCCCCCCCCCCCCCTTCATACTCCAGCAAAAGTTTTCAAGGGCAAAAAGTGAGAATTTTGGGGAAAACCTCACGGTGGGGAGAGCTGCCGGGTTTGTTTAGGATCTATAGTGTTACGGTGAAGCAGGCCGACAGGCCCAGCTGCCCCCTCCAGCGAGCTTGCTTCTCCAGCAAATAAAACCCATCCGCGAGAACCCGTCAACAGGCTCTCCCGCGTTTCCAGGTACAAAATAAAAATGATTAGCAGCTGGAAATCAAAATTGCCCATCTGCTAACCCCCCTGCCCCCTGCCCCGAGGCGTGCGTGGTCCTACGTGCACCTACGAACTCCTAATACCACACTCCTTAACTCCAATTCCTTCTCTCTACATTTACAGAAAACCGAGGGGCTCACCCGCACACCCCCGGTGCTCACAGCCTTGCTGCCCCCCCTGCAGAGCCCTAACACACCAGTTACACCAGTGAATGAGCTGGGCTTCCCCTTTAGCCCAGTGCCCACACACCAGGCTGCAAGGGAAGGAAAGGATTTTCTTCTTTTAGTACTGCTGACATTGACTTTAAGGTAAAATTCGCACTAGGCTCTGTTCCATGGCAAGCCATGCACCTGTAAGTTTTGCTGGAATATTGCAGCCACAAAAAAAAAAAAACAAAAAAAACCAAAAAAAACAACAACCAAAAACAAACAGGTGCATAGCTTGATTTTCACATTTTTGATATATGTGACATCCTACAAAAACTTTTCTTCCACATTTCTTAAGCTCCTGTAAAACCAGAGTTTTGGGTTATGTTTTCTCCCACTGATGTTGAAATCGAAGAAAATAATCTAACATTGTTCATCTTCGGTAGAAGAGATACCATAATTTGATGAGAAAATTATTTTAAATCGCATTTCTATATATTCTTTTCTATAGAGTATGTCTGTCTTTTTGAATTTCAGACCATTCCTCAGAAATACAGATAAAAGACATGGCTTTATTGGTAGCTACAGCTATATATAGCTAACTGTAAATGGGATACTGATCTGTGGTAGAGAATGAAAATACTTTAGGTGGCATCTCATACAAATAAAATCATCTCCAATTCTTAATCCATCAATCTGCATTTTGCGTCTGCGAATACAGGTGTGAAATACACCTGTATCACTAAATCTTTGCATTTGCAGTATAATTCTTAAGCCTGACCACTTGCTTTCCAAACCCCACGTTCCTAGGGTGTGTTGGCATTGGCAGCGCCATGGCATGTCTGCCTGTTATAACCCATTATGCACATATTTATAAATACATATATACACAAACATATAGGCTTATGCCAAGGTGAGGATTTTGTTGTTTTAACACCCTCTTGGAGCCATCCCAGAACCCACTCCTGGGCTGTAGCTGTCACCGGGGCAGCAAGGTATGTCAATTTGTCTGAGCTTTTGGGAAATGCTTAAGAAAAAGAAGCCAATTGTCAGTAATCCCAGCCATTCGCACCTTCAAAATGTGAAAGAAAAAAAAAAAAAAAAAAAGGTGGGAAAAAGTACAAAAATGTTGAAAACCATTGTCCTACGAATGTAAAGTTGGCACTTGGTGTTCCTGTATGCACGCTGCAAAATTAGAAATGGCTCGTTCGTACCACTGACAGGGTATTCTTTTGAACACCACTTACTTTAGGCATATTTTTAGAAGATCTGTCTTCAAATCTCCGAAGTACAAGGGGCGACAGTCTTTCCACTTCAGTGAAATTAGTTCAGGAAACAACTCGACCCCAAACATTAAACTGGAAGTTCTTTAACTTCCCTGCACTTAGTGACTACCCGGAGACACCCAGCCCCAAATCTGCCTCCGGGTATCACCAGCGCGGCTGCCCGTGGGTGCTCCTCTTCCTCAGGATGGCTGGTTTGTTTTCTGTGACATTGTTTGTCTCCTGTCTGTGTGACAACTACAGCCACAGCCACCACAGAAGGTGTAGTGTGTGCTTGTACCCGTCAGGTTACAGCAGACGGGCACAGCGATATTATTTGTGTTAGTTGAGTGTCCTGTGGCCAATTTCGCTGTGGGTCGGCTGAATTTTTGTGTAAATTTTAGACGTTGACCATGTAAACAAGAGAATTTGTTTCATACATTTCCTAAATGTACAAATTTAAATGTCTACAGAGAGCTCATTAAATTCTCCCTTTCTCAGCTGAGCTGACACCTGAGGATGTAAAAATACGCATGATGTATTTATTAATGCTGACTTTTTTTTTTTTTTTGCTTCTCAGAAACCCGTTTTACGAGGAAGCAGCAACCCCTGGTGAACACCCGAACGGGACTTAACTCCTTTAGGACATTCCAACAAACAGGAAAAATATTTCTTGTTACGGAAGGCGGAGCTTTTTACAGCTTTCTTTCCTTTCTCGGGCGCTTCACCGGAGTTGACAAGGTGAGGAAGGCGTGCTGATGGCAGGGGCAGGGGCAGCAATCCCTGCGCAGCTCCCCGATACGCGTTTAAAAGGCTGCGGGGCCCGTTTCCAGCAGCTTCTCTCCCCACCACGCGTGGCGGGACACGCGTGTTCCCCGACCCCCCCCCCCCCCACCCCCCACCCCGTGACAAATACCGCAGGTTCCCCGCAAGAGCTGGGGGACCTGGAGCTCCGCACCCCCAGCCCACTGACCCCCAACCCCGCTGCCCTATCGCGTCACTCCCACGTCAGACCCCGCGGGTTTGGTTAATCGTGGGCGGGCGATGCCATCTAGCGGCCACGGGCCCGGCTCCGTGGAGCCGCGCGTTTCCCGGCGCGGGTGGAAAGGGACCCCCCTCCCCGCATCCCCCCTCCCCGCATCACGCTCCCTCCGGGATGTCCCTTCAAGCCTGAGAAACGAGGCGCGTTAACGAGCAAGCGTGAAAGACTGGAGTATTTATTCCTTTCCCTCCCGAGGAGGGGAAGGGGAGCAGGAGGTGCTGGTCTCCCTGGGATTTGGGGGTAGGACGCGTGGGAATGGTTCAAAGCTGGGCCAGGGGGGCGGTTAGGCTGGACACTGGGAAACGTTTCTTTACCCGGAGGGTTCTCAAACACACTGGAACAGGCTTCCTCGAGAGGCGGTTGATGCCCCGGGCCTCTTGGGGTTTAAGAGGCACCTGGACAATGCCCTTAATAATGTGCTTTAACTTTTGGTCAGCCTTGAAATGGTCACGCAGTTGGACTAGGGGGATCGTTGTAGAGCGCTTCCAACTGAAAATATTCTATTCTATTCTATTCTAGTCTAGTCTAGTCTAGTCTAGTCTACTCTAGTCTAGTCCATTCTGTTCTAGTCTATTCTGTTCTAGTCTAGTCTAGTCTATTTCTATTCTATTCTAGTCTAGTCTATTTATATTTCTATTCTATTCTATTCTATTCTATTCTAGTCTAGTCTAGTCTGGTCTAGTCTAGTCTAGTCTACTCTAGTCTACTCTAGTCTAGTCCATTCTGTTCTAGTCTAGTCTATTTCTATTCTAGTCTAGTCTAGTCTATTTCTATTTCTATTCTATTCTATTCTATTCTATTCTATTCTATTCTATTCTATTCTATTCTAGTCTAGTCTAGTCTAGTCTAGTCTAGTCTAGTCTAGTCTAGTCTAGTCTAGTCTAGTCTAGTCTAGTCTAGTCTAGTCTAGTCTATTCTTTCTAGTCTAGTCTAGACTAGTCTAGTCTACTCTAGTCTAGTCTACTCTAGTCTAGTCTATTTCTATTTCTATTCTATTCTATTCTATTCTATTCTATTCTATTCTATTCTATTCTATTCTATTCTATTCTTTCTATTCTATTCTAGTCTAGTCTAGTCTACTCTAGTCTACTCTAGTCTAGTCTACTCTAGTCTAGTCTATTCTGTTCTAGTCTATTCTGTTCTAGTCTAGTCTAGTCTATTTCTATTCTAGTCTAGTCTATTTCTATTCTGTTTCTATTCTATTCTATTCTATTCTATTCTATTCTATTCTATTCTATTCTATTCTATTCTATTCTATTCTATTCTATTCTATTCTATTCTATTCTATTCTATTCTATTCTATTCTATTCTATTCTGTTCCATTCTGTTCCGTTCCATTCCATTCCATTCCATTCCATTCCATTCCATTCCATAGCCAGTAATGTTTGCAACTTGTATACTGAATGCCCATCAAGTTACAGAGCTTAACCAGCTTGCTAAAGGCAATGAGCACCAACAGCATGAGCATTGCCAGGCCTGCTCTGCTGGCAGGTGTGGAGGTGGAGGACGGTGAGGTGGGTGAAAAACTGTTCTAGTCCAGCCTGGCCATCCTGTCCCTTATAACCACACCGATTCGCTGCATCGCTTTCAAGCTGATGATCACCTGGGCTTTTCTTCTGTTCCTACTTCTTGCCATCTGTGCTTTGCTGTAACTTCTTAAAATGGCTAGTGCAAAGTGATTTGCAACTATTACTTTCCATTTCTTTAAAAAAATGTCACGGCATGCCTGTAGGTCTGTGTGGCAATATGTGGGACTTGTTCTTGGGGAAGTTCAAGCAGAAACCCGAGTTGGGTCATTGTGATACTACCTAAGGTGTATCTACTGTCCCTTGGCATCATTTGGTTCAGTGTTTTTTGTATTTAAATTGTGACAGTAGCCACAGCAGTAGGCTGTGGTTGTCTTCTAGCTGCAGTGGGTATGGTGCAGGTTTAACATTTATTTATGGTCAGTATTTTAGCGCCTCGTTTATGAATAAGGTGAATTAAAAGATCACAGTAGGCGCAATGGGTCAAAGGCAGAGCCAGAAATCAACACCTCAAGACCAGCCCGTTGGAGCATCCATTTCAAAGAAACAGGGCAAAAAGCAGAAGGGGAGCAGTGCTCTTCCTGAAATCAGGATCAGTGAAAAACAAACCGCTCGAAAACTCAGAA